TTTAATATCGCGAAGATGTTGGAAAGGTATCGTTAAGACTATCATAACTATATCGTCGCGATATCTTCAAAAAAATCGTGATGTCGTCGTGAAGATGTTGAAAATGTATCATTAAAATATTGTGGCAAATTTGAAGATTTCAGCAAAGAAGTTAAATCACATTATTATTTCAAAAACTAGTAAACAGAATTTAATTATTTCTGATTCAATGAATTTATATTATCAAAATGCATCTAATTGCAGTGTTTTTATGTCTTTAAATTTGATAGATCAAATGTTATTCTTAACAGTAAAATGCAAATAATTCATTATTTATTTTTAAAAATTTGACATATACAAATTTTATAACATTTTCTTTTCTATTAAACTTAAAAAAATGAAATATGATTCATTATATTTGTCTTATTAAAGTACATTGTATCTATTATTTTCATGTCTTTAGGATTAATGAATTAAAAGTTATTTGCATTTTACTGTTTTTAGACATTCAGCAATAACTTCTGATCTATTGAACTTACAGACTTGAAAATACTGTGGTTAGACGTGTCTCTATTGGACGAATCTAATGAATCATAAATCATTAAATTCTGATCACTGGACATTGATTTAATGTGATTTAATAGTTATTTTTTAAAAGTATTTAGATACTTTTGGCAGGTGGATGTATACTATATAAAATATATTAACTATATTATATATATCAACTATATTTGATATATTGCATATGTTGCATATATTGAACATTTGCAACATAGGTTGTTATCACATATTCTGGTCTTAGGGGCATGCCAGAAATCAGCTGATTTGAAAGAAGATGGAGGAGTCAAGCTTCAAATATTAAATTTTACTGGATATTATTATAATTAACAAATATTAAAAAATTTCCTATACAAAATTTTTACAAGTTTAAAAATAATTATAGGATTCTATTTATATAATTCACAAATATCTGGTCTCAGCTTATAATTATATTTATTTATAAGTTATATTTGTAAAACATTTAGAAAAGTCAAATTTATATACTAGAAATACTGATATTTTTTAGTTTTAGTATTGTACTGGATTCCAGCTTACAAAGCAATTTTTTTTTTTTTTTTTGACTTGAATTTGCTACTAAATTACAATTAATTATTCTTTTACAATTAATGCTTATTTATTGTATCCATTATCAAGGAAAATTTCTGTCCCAAGAGATGTAGTATATCTTCAGAGATTATTTCAGTAGTGTTTTATTATCTAATATTCTTTATCATCATCAGAGTTAATATTCACATTATCAGGGAGGTTGGAAGATTTAGTAAAAAAAGGTATCAGAATAGTTATTGTAAATTCTATTGATCAGTTCGATAAACGTCGCATGATATATTTCTAGAGAATCGTGCGATACCTATATTTTTCATAAATAAATATAAAATGGAATTATATATAATGCAATTAAACTAACCGAAATATTTTAAGCAAATTGATAAATATTTAAAAAAATAAATAGCAAGCTAATAAGCTAATCATTTGTTTTGTTTAAAGAAATTAATCTATATTAACAAATATAATTAAATAATTTAATATTAATTACATAAATGGGTAAGATCAATGTCCTATTAATTTAAACTACTAATGTATGAAATGGACCCTAACAAGCTAAGTTTAATCTAGTTAATATGTTATATATGTTACATAATATCATGAATGACGCATTCTAAAATTGTAAAAGAAGTTTTTTAATTTGAATATCAGTCTAGTTTACCTTTCTGTTCTGACACCAAAAATGAACAAACGTATTTAAATGTTTGTATTACAACAAGAGAAAGAAGATATATAAAAATTTATAAGCAAACGATGCCTGATAAAAATTGCATGTGGAAAACACATTTAACATTAGCCTCATATTCGAAACAGTTGCTATATTCAAGTTGGGAGCTAAGCTAGGGATTTCTAACCCTAAGCTCTAAGATTACGTAACCGAACCTTTTTATTAGTGATCATCATTTCATTATTTCTCAGTGACGAACTCTGCGCATATATATGTGCACTTCCAAGTTTCGATTTCATGAATTTTTAAATTTGCCGTTGGTTCTATAGTATGTACGTTCTTGTATTTTGTAATACTTTAAAGTAAGACATTTAGTAAGATATTACTTACTTTAGATTTAAGACAGTCAAAGTTTTTTTGGAAGTCAACAGCAAATTATACGAATATATTAGCCAATGCTGGCATCTACACAGTCTTCATCTCTTGTAAGCCAGGAGATATATACATCTTCTAATGCTACAACGTCAGCATCGTCTTCGAATTCAACAACTAATGGAGAAAGTTGTGTCAATACTAATAATAACTTATCGGAATGTCTTACCGCTTCTTCTTCAACACCTCCTTCTTATTTTTTATTATACTACTGGACAATATTATATACTTATATAACAAATATTTTCAGTAAATCAACTGCAAGGTTACGAAGACATTCCACTGGCGAGCATGCATATATGGCACAAACATCAGTTTCTGATACTAATAATAACATTAATAGTAATACAAACAATAATAATTCACCACAACAACCACTTCGTCGTTCTCCGCGATTTAAATCAAAAAAGCAATTGCAACAACAAATTACTTCTTCATCAGTTGATAGTATATCCCCACTTAAAGCTGCCAATTCATCGATTCGTTTGAGAAATAATTCAAAGACATCAACACAATCATTTATGATGAAAACGAAGACACTTATATTGGATTTGGACGAAACCTTAATACATTCAACATCGAGGGGATCGCGAGCAGACGCGCACATGATTGAAGTCATGGTAGATAATCATGCTTGTTTATATTACGTGTATAAAAGACCACATGTGGATCATTTTTTGAAAAAGGTATAGAAATAGATATTAAATTCATTTTTATTTATAGAGACTACGTTAATTATTAAATTTTTGTTTAGGTTAGTGAATGGTACAAGGTAGTTATTTTTACTGCCTCTATGCCTGAATATGCTGACCCTGTAATCGATTGGTTGGATCCAAATAAAAATTTAATCTGTAATCGATTTTTTCGACAGGTATAAAAATATTTTTTTTAAATTGTTAGATTTGATTTTTATGATACAAGAACATCATATTTCCATTATAATTTTTATCGATATCAGTCTTGTACCAATCGAAATGGAGCTTACATTAAAGATTTAACAATTGTTGAACCAGACCTTTCAAAGGTCTGTTTAGTTGATAATTCACCAATATCTTATGCTATGCAACAAGGTAATATAGATATGTATATATAGTTATTTATTTTGTTAAAAAGATACGAAATAATTTGATTTTATTTGATAATTTGTTAGAAAATGGGATAGCAATTGAAGGCTGGATAAATGATCCTAATGATGAAGCGTTGTTAGATCTTTTACCTTTCTTAGATGCATTAAGATTTACCGAGGATGTAAGATCTATATTATCTCTAGCAACTTATTGATATCAGGGGAAAAAAAGAAAATACTATTTTCATTAATCACAAAGAAAGTTCTGTAGTAAAAAAAAAAAAAAAACTTTTGTTAGAATGGCCTGTAATTGCAAAAAAATGATTATTTTTATAAATGGTTATGGTTATTAATATGTAATATCACATCTCTTCATTATCAAACTTTAGAAATTCTGATTGTAATATAGAATCAATAACGGCTGAATCTGCATTAAGTAAATTTAGATCAGATAAATAGTAATATTATAAGATTAAATTCTTTATTTATGGGACTTTTCCATGATATACATAATTAATAATAATTTTTTTATTCAATGTAAATTACTAAATTCGGGTGAGACTATTAAAAAAAGCATGTTAAATTAATAATCAATTTTGTCAAGTTAAAGTTATACTCAACTTCCCGTAATATACACCATGTTATTTTATGGTAAATAAATTGGGAAAACCAGTAAATATCTACATAGTTTAGAATAATTATAACCATTTAAGGTAATTCAAAAAATTAAAAAATACATTGATTGGAGCTACTTGCTCGCCCGAAAAAAAAAGAAACAATAATAGGTACATAATAAATTTCCTACAAAATCAAACTTAAAGGGGTAAGCAAGCAGGTCCAGCCCACTTCGGTCTCCCATTCTCAATTAAAAAATAATAATAAATTGAACAAGATGTAAAAGTAACAATAAAAACAAAATAATGAAAAAAAAACTATTAAAACAAAAATATAACATATAAAATTAATGGCTACTCAATAACTGCTTTATATTTTTTGGAGTAGTTTCATCATTTAAATGTTTGGTATTAAAACGTAAGGCAGACATCAAATTTGAGTATTCATTTATACCGTGAGTTTGAATGGCTTTTACTGATGATTTTATCTTTTTTTTTTTTTAAGAAAAATTTATTAATTAATTTCATGATTAATAAGATTCTGGAAAAATTTAAAAGTGAATATAACTTACATTAATCGGTGATTGTTTAATAAATGCTCCTTGAGGATCGATGTGGTCATATAAAATAATGGATACAACCATTACTCGTAAAAAAAAATCAGTTCGTTGAGTTCTCTTTTTTGTGACTGCATGATAACACGCTGCTGCCAATAGTGATAGACATTCCGATACACTTCTGCCAAGGTTATTCTATGATGACAACCAACCAAAATGAAATCATTAGTTATAATTTATTTATGCGTATATGGCAGTCATACCAATTAATAGACAATTTCATTTGTAATAAATAAGAATCATTATACGATAAGTAAATTTAATAAATTTATAATTTACCAAAAATCGGTAAATTAAAACAATTTATGTATTACCTTACTGACAAAAAGTGCCGTTACGTCTGTAACTGTCTTCAGCATTGGTGTAGGATATGCATAAAATAAGGAAATTCGGTTTGCCAATTCGTCCTCAATCATTGCGGTTTTTAAATCCGTCTGGTGATTATACATATTAATATTAGCTCAAAATATTGATGAATAAAATTTAGAGATATTAATTTAAAATAAAACAAACTTCATTTGCTAATTTTCCTCGACTCAGTGTTCGTCGATAATAAGAAAAGTCATTTTGAATTGATGGTGTTTTCATCTAATTTCATATTTTACGAAAACGTTAGAATAAATATCACATATAATATATTTTGCTGTAAATTTTCTCTATTTTAAAATAAATGATTTCTACAACCTTCAAATAGTCGAATTCAAAGGCAAAATCCAGTATTTCTGCTAACAATTTTGTAAGTGCTTGATATTGTTCAATATTTTTTCGAACATTCCCTTCACATAGTATTTTTAATAATTTAGGATAAGCATCCTCTAAAATGAATAACAATAAATAAATAAAATTATTTAAACCAGTAATAATAACAATAATAAATAATAAATTAATTAATACCCAAGGAAGCAGAATACTCAAAATATTGTTTTAATTTTGCAACTGCTGGTTGAACAGCTTGCCAAGCTTCTTCTTCATTGTCAGGTGTAGGATTGGATATTGCTTTTCTAATTAGATCTCCGCATCCTTCATAATGTCGTAAAGAATCTAAAAGGTCATTGACTGGTCGGAGGAGTTCAGAAACATGTCCATAAAGATCTGATTCCTCCTGTGTTGGTGTGGCATCTTGAATAAAACAAATTCATGTAAGTAATTAAGTCTTGAAATCCATGCATTAAAAAAAGTCTATAATTTATTGACCCAGCCGCTTTTTTTTTATTTAGAAATATATATTTGTATAAATTATATTATATAAACATAAAATAAAAAATAAACTATAGCTATCTAAACAAATACGCACGGGTCTTATGGAGTAAATAGTTATTATTTGATTTCCGCTTCCATTATATGCTAAAGTTTCGTTTATTTTCTGGAAAAAACTAAGCATCGGTAACAAAGTTTCTTTTTAGTCACCTTGCACTGATACTGGAGGGACTTCACTTAGTCTTTTTTTTTTTTTAAAAAAAATATATTACTTACTTTCAAGGTCGAGGTTCAAATCTGGCACCGTTGCGTCACCATTTACCCTACCACTAAAATGTGATAATATAATTCCCATATTATATAGATTGTGCGTAAAAAAAGTTATTTTTTTTTTTTTTTTTTTTCAAGACGGTAAAAGTGAATGGTTCGATTTGAGAGGTATGGCTTCTTGCCTAATTCGTCGAATATAGGTTGGGGTAACACTACCAGGTGCTGTGGTATAATACCTCTTGGTTAGAAATTTTATTTTATTTTTCTTTTTTTCTTACAAGGCCAGTCAGATGAGTTTAAAAACAATTTGAACGTCCGTTGAAAGTACACCAAATAAAATTACCTCCGGTAAAAAATTAGTTTATGAAGGGTTATGGAACGGAATAAAAGCTCAGATTAAATTATAGAAGGAGTGGGTGTGAATTTTGGCGACCAAGAAGAAGGAATAATGTTGTTTTTCCTCAAAAAGAAGGGAAATTTTTTTAAACAATTTTTTAGACGGAACACAAACACACCAAAAGACGCTCTTTAACGTAAGTTACATTTTTGGGATTTTTGGGTACACAAAATTTATATGTATTCATGCACACATGGCTGTGAACCAAATCCCAAGGTTAAAATATTTAAACATTACATTCTTTATACCATTATATGTATGAAATCGGGAATTAGAGATTACCACAAATAATTTATTTTTTTTAATAAATCACCTTGAAATAGTTTAGCTTTGGCTAAAATTATAATTTCACTAAGGAACCAACATGGTGATAAAAATAAATGTCCGAAATTATTTATTACCATCTAACCTAACTAGTAATCTGTACCATACCGTATCCATTAGAATCATCATTTACGCATGCACTTACCTTTTCATTATATCCCGTTATCCATGCTCTTCTTCACTTTCATGATCATCATTATCGTCATCACTTTCATATTCGGCCAATCCTGTTAATGCTTCGGTTGTAGTTTCTTTGATTTTATTATAATTTGCCGAGCTAAATCCCTGTGAGAGAATCTTTAAATTTTCTAAAGTTTCATCAGATACAATTGATTTGTTTTTTAAAGATGAATTCGAGCTTGAGTTCGTTTTTATTGTTTCCATATTAGGCTGATGACCGGCATATTGTTGATCTTCATAATATACAGAAGCCTCTAGATCATCCGAATTTTGACCTCCCTCTAAAACTAAGGGATTTTGATTATTATCATCGTTTAATCGAGGACGTTTATTGATATAATCATTATTTGATAATGTAAACTCGGCGGGGAGACTTTTTATTATTGCTTGTGCTGCCATAGCTTCTGCCTTTCTCTTAAATTCTGCTTTAGCTTTAGGATTAGGATCATCTGTGGCCCATCTACCAAAAATCATATTATATATTGATTATATTATAAAATGACCATCTGTATAATCTTTATTTCAAAGATAATATCTTTCCCTTACCTTACATTAAGCACCTAGTTGAGTTTATTATTAAAATGTTTTATTAATTCATATAATACATAATATATAATATACTAACTTCATTTTATTACTTTCACTTACTTCATTATTGTCTAAACTCTGATTACTCATGGCTTCTTTTGCAAATTCAGCATTAAGAGAATTAGTATATGACACGAATGCAACTCCTTTGTCTTTTAGTATTTTTACTAATAATTAAAAACATGATTTAATAAAATGAAATTAATAATAAAAACCAATCATTTTGCCTAATTACTTTTTTCAATTTCTCCCCATTCCCCAAAGTGTTTACGTACAATATCCTATAACAGGAAAAATATTATCAATATATTTTTATAAAACGTAAGTAATTAAAAATACATTAAGGTGTAAAAACCTCCATATCAGGACAAATTGTCACATGCCCAACATAAAGTGTCCTATTTTCTCTATTAAAAGAGCCGATGCCACCCATATCTTCACGATATTCATCAAATTTATCTCGTCCGAAAGAATCAATAGTCGTATCAACCGGATCTGAATCTGTTGGTATTCTATGCCAATAATTACATTCGTACCTGTCAGAAAATTAGGATATTAAGAATTAAATAGATGTTGCAAGAATTTGCAAAAGAACGTAAATATTTAATTAGGAGCATTTACCCAAATGGACAACATCCTCTTGCAAAATAAAGGCAAAAATACGTATTAGATATTTTATCACCTTTTGTTTCTCCAGCATCAAGCTTTACGTTACAACGAGTTTTTGCTTTTTCCCTAAAAGAAATTTAAAGTTTATTGTTTGAACTTCATAAAATCAAATAGGTAAAACTTTACCTTGTAAACTTAGACGATCTTTCTCCTCCAGACCATTTATTATACCAAATATTATAAAAAGTTCCTTGCTGATCAGAATTAACTCTGTTCGGCCCTACTTTAAGAATGGAGTCGTCTACCTACATAAGCGAGTTGAATAATGAAACTGTGTAAATAAAAAAATGTATATTTTAATAATGTTCGTACCTGTTTCCTTGCAGGTTTCATGGTGAAATACAAATGTGAATCGCAAGGCAGAAAATTGTTTTTCAGAATACAAAAATAAATAATATCATTTAAGGTTAGAGACTTAGAGTAGAAATTCAGATGTATTCCTTTATGCTATAATGCCGGCCAAAAAGTTACCCGGGTTTAGACTTCCCAATATAGAATCTGATGACGATCAACATATAAAAAAGAAAATCGGTTCGATAATCTATATGTTAGAAAAAAAATGGCGAAAAATAAGAAAGCAACTAGAAAGTTTGAAAAAAAAAATTTAAAACAAACCATAGAGAAACGACGTAAAGTACAAAAATTTAAAAAAAGTGTTGAGAGACGTCAATTTAAAAAAAGATTATCGAGAAATGAAGCTCAAAACGATAACAATAATATTAATTTGTCCAAAAATATGAAAACTGATCAAAAACTTGTTGACAGCGATGATTTAATAAGCGAAGAAATTGTTAAGTAAGAAATTTATCATTAATGGATTATTTCAATAAAGAATTATTTATAATATTATAAATATTAGGTTAAAAGGAATGAAAGATCTTGCGTTATCAGATTCAAATGAAGAATCTTTAGAAGAGGATGATGATGAGATCTTCTTAGCTAGTGATGATGAAGAAAGAACAGAACTAAGTGATGTAATTAATAAAGAAGATGATGGTGATGATCAAAATTATAAACAATCAAAATCCTACAAGCAAAAGTTGTCTGTGCAGAAGGATGCTTTAGAACTTAAGAAACAAATTGAGGAATTAGAGCATAAAGATCCAGAATTTTATAATTATTTAAAGACAAATGATCAAGAGTTAATAGAATTCGACGTATCAGATTTTGAATCAAATAGTGAAAAAGATGATAGTGATGAGGATGATATTGTAATCGAAGAAGACTCTAATAGTGAAAATGAGGTAAAAATATTAAAGTGTATAATTATAATTTACAGATAATTTATTTTAAGTATTTTGATTACTTATTTGTTACTAGAGTTTAAACGAGGATATTAATGAAAAAGAGGAAAAAGCAGCTTTGAAGGAATTTGAATTAGATGATGATATTAGTAATGAGAATATTCAGGATTTAACATCTGAAATGATTGATAAATGGGCATCTACTATAACTGAGGTATTTATAAAATAGATTACAAAATCTTTTGCATCTTTTGTAAAGACTAATATAATATTTTATACAAAAAAATTTCAGAGCAAGTCCTTGAGATCTACACATAAATTAGTTTTGGCTTTTCGTGCGGCAACACATATTAATCAAGATGAAGCTATGCAGTCATTTGCATATAAAATATCCAGTCCATCAGGTATATAATAAATAATTTGATATTCAAGGATTTGATATTAAGCAATTTTTCTTATAAAAAATTATTTAAGTGTTTAATAATCTGGTGGTGGTTTGCTTGAAACATGTTCCTGATGCTTTTGATCATCATTTGAACGTTAAGGATTCCGATGCAAAAAATCCGTAAGTATATTTCTTTCAAAATTTCTTTCTTTCTCTGTTTTTTAACAACTTCATATATTTGTAGAAAGTCAATTTGTTCGCGCCGTAAATGGAAATCAATACAAACTTTAGTGAAGTCCTTCTTAAATAGTGTTCTTTATATCCTTAAACAATTAACGGAAAATGATACGCTATATTTTATCATCAAGGAAGCAGAAAAATTAGTTCCCTATTACTCATGTTTTCCAAAATTGGCGGGCCAATACTTGAAGGTATTATTGCAACATTGGGGAACTGCAGAAGATAAAGTTCGAGTTGTAGCTTTTATCAATATTCGAAAGCTTGCATTAGTTGCTCCACCTCCGTTTGTCGATCTTTGCCTTAAGGTAAAAGATGATTTAAGGAATAATATGCAGTTGGACAAGAATTTAAAAAATTTAATTTTATTAGGGCATTTATACTACGTTTGTTCGATGTTGTAAAGAAACTTCAATTTTTACACTACCTTCCATTATTCTTATGAGAAATTGTGCTATTGAGATTTATGGACTTGACTTTAAGAGCTCTTATCAGTCTGCCTTTGGATACATTAGACAGCTAGCTATTCATCTCAGGAATTCCATGAATATGAAAAGCGAGGTATTTCAAAATTTCTTTAATTGTAATATTTAATATTTTCAGTTCATTCTTACGAATTTAAATTTTATTTTAGGAAACGTTTAATGCAGTATATAATTGGCAATATATACATTGTATTGAACTTTGGTCCGAAGTATTGGCAACATATTGTGACGAACAACGCGTTGCAACTACTGGGCAAAATTCTTTACAGGAATTGATCTACCCATTGGTTCAAGTATGCATCGGAGTATTAAGATTAAATCCTTCTGCGCAGTATATCCCACTTCAATTTCATTGCATACGTGCATTAATTCGTTTAGCACAAAAAACTGGAACTTATATTCCGCTTGCTCCTTACCTTTTTGAAATTTTGCATTCTGCTGAAGTGCGCAGAAATGCAAAACCTTCTACATTGAAACCATTGGATTTTACAATACATTTGAAGTCACCAAAAAATTATCTACATACAAGCGTATATCAGGTATTATTATTTTACGTCGTTGATAAAGTAATATTATTTTGAACATTTATTTGATTTATAATTTATAGGAAGGAATATGTGAAGAGCTTACTGAGATTTTATTAGAGTACTATGCAAGTTATTGTTTATCAATAGCTTTCCCAGAATTAATAATACCAGCTGTCTTTCAAGTACGTCTATAGTTATTTTTTTTTGATCAATAATAATTATTATTACAAATAACAATATTATTTATTTATTTAGATTAAACGATTTATTAAAGATTCCAAAAAATTTAAAATAAATAAACAATTCCAACATTTAGTTCAAAAGGTATGTTAAAGAATAAAAATATTTATTTAATTTTTCCAACACTTATTTTATTTTATTTTAGTTTGAAGAAAATGGAAAATTTATTGAACATCGACGACAACATGTTGATTTTGGACCTGGAGATACCGAAAAAGTGGTATGAGTAAATGTAAATTTTCAAGATTTTTCTTAACATTTATTATAAGTTTATTTTGTTAAATTTGTGAATAGAAATCGTTTTTGAGAGATGTTAACATGGATTCGACGCCCCTGGGAGCATATGCGAAAAAAATTAAGAATTTAAAAGAGCAACGAAGAAAATTAATGGAATCTGTGAGTTATTAATGTTATTAATTAATTGGGATAAATTTAAAATTGTTAGGTTGCTGAAAAATTTTTTTTTTAAAAAAAAAAAAATTGTAGGAACAAGATAATTAAAAAAAAAAAAAAAATTTTATTTTATTTATTATACTTTATATTTGCAATAAATAATATATAAGTATATATATATATGATTAGTTATTATATTCTATACTTTCTAAATATTTCATTATTTCTATTTCTATTGTTATTGTAATAAATATCTGTAAAGAATATCAACAAATTCATCATATCTATTCTTTGCTTCCTTAAATATAACCAAATTCGCCACTAATGCTTTTCACATCACTTTCAACGATTTGAGCACGCATACTTTTATTTTTGCCTTTAAGTGGAATATTGACTTTAAATTTATCATCATCATGCGTCGTTTCGTGTTGTTCTGTAGGTCCAATACTAGGTTTATGATTATGTTTCCAATGAACAATACCAAGATATACCTTTCCGACTATAGCGTGAAAAATTACCAATGAAGAAGTGACTAATGTTAAAAATGGAATTATTGAATATGATGCAGTATTTAATTTATATATAACTTGGATGATGAATTGAGGTACATCTTCTATAACAAAGCCAATAGCACTTCCCATAAAAATCATACGATCGGCCCAATTGCTCCATGGAGCTTGTAATACTTTAAAACCACCAGCTCTCGAATTTAATATACTAAGAACTTCAACTTCAGTTGAAGCTAATACCGTAAAAGTTGAAGCTATAGCATTATTTAATTTAAACCAAAGTAAAAATTTCTCATTATGCATCGCTTCGATTATTACTATATAAATAGACCAAAATAAATTAAAAGTACATGGAAATATTGAAAAGATTAATGAAGGAATGAATAAAAATGGAATATCTTTTGAATGTGTTACAATGAATAATAAATCTAAAGAAAAATCCGATAATATTAAAGCGAATTGTGGTACAGCAATGTTTCTTGCTTTTCCATCACGTATATTTGCAAAAATATATAATATTCCAACAATTATAACGAAACATCCAACTAATATTAACAAAAGCATATTTTGTACAAAAAAATTCTCTTTGATAGGAGCACCATATTTACTATCAAGATATTTCGTCATAGAACCATTTTTCAAATTTGTATATTGTGAATTTGTTACTAAATCATTTAAATCAGATACTAAACGTAATGATGAAGGATTTCCAGGAGAAATTTGTATTGGGAGAAGTATATAAGAATGTTCATTTCCATTATCAAAATACCATTTTGAAGCTGATAGACGATCAAAATTCACTGGAAGGAAAGTTGATAATTCGTGTTTTATTGTTTTAATTGTTTCATCAAAATCTTTAAGAAAATGAGGTAAAGCATCAGGATTAAAACGAAGTAATACATTCACTTTTTCAGAATATATAGTAAAATCTTTTTTTGTAGTGAAATTCCAAATAGCAGGTTTAACACCAGGTAAAGGTTCAGCCAATTCATTAGTTTCTACCATACCATCATCCACAGTAATATAATATTTTGTTTCAGGCATATTTAAAGTTGAAGAAAATAATAAAACATTAATTTTTGTAAAATTTTCATTTTCATTTACTAAATTAATTAAATTAGGAGGTATTGTTAAACGAGGATATTTATCATTGTCTGCTTGAAATATATGAATTGAACCTTGACCACTTTTTTCTACAATACCACGATAAGTTAATGATAATCTAAATTGAGGTGTTTCTTTTGTAATTTCAATATTTTCTTCATTTAAAGCAGGATAAGAAGAATATATATTTAAATTTTGATAACCATTATCTTCATCATGAAATTTTGGAAGATCAATTGTAAAAATTGATAAAGTTTGAAATTTATAAGGATCCCACCAATTTCTTGAAAATCCAGTTAATACTACAGTATTATTACGAAACAAACAAGCACCACCAGTAAAAATGATTTCCACAAAAGTTTCTTTGATTAAACTTCCATCAGCTTGAAATAAATCCAAAATACTATGTATTCTTGTATTATTATGAATTGGACTTAATAATTCAAAAGGATTTTGTCTTAAACTACTACTAACAAGTAAAAAACCACCATATTGAAGAGGTATACCAACTATATCCAAAAAATCACTAAAAGCAGATTTTTTATTGATAATTTGAGATTCAATTGGAACAACATTGTGTATCATACCACTAGATAAAAAATTTATTTGATAAGATTGTACTTTTTTTTTATTCAATAATTCTTGTAAAAAACAGTTAAAACCTTTACCAATAACTGAACCTGTACATGCTAATATTTTAATTTCATGAGCAATTGTACTTGAAAATATTACAAATGGTGAAGTTTTTATTTTTTCAGATTTTGGTTCTAAAAATACGGCATAAACCTGATTTTTAACTTTTGGTGATGATGATGATGATGTAATATTTGATCTATGAGAAGGTAAAGTTGCTATTACTGACCATGCAATCAAAAATCCTCCATCTAATGTTGGTTTTGTATTATATGAACGAACACATCCATTTTCCATTTTTAAATTTTTTGATCCAATAAGATTCGCTTTATCATCAAATAATCTCCATTCAATAGTATTACATCTTGTTCCAATCTTTTTATAATATACATATATAAAAGTATCAGTATTTGCAACTAATTGATGAGCAGTATTTATACCAAACATATTTATTTTATTATGTTCATTAAATCCATCATTCTTCATTAATAAGACACGATATAATAAATTTCCTTGTTCATCAGCAATACCAGCCCAAGTATCTTTTTGTATAGGATTATTTATATCTATTTTTCCATCTGTTCCATTGGCATAAGCAAATAATACATTTTTATTACTAATAGGAGATACTGTATTAGGTTGAATTCCAAGTGGAAGTCCCCATGAATCCAATAATATATTAACAATTGTTCCATTTGCAAGAATTGACGTTTGTTTTAAATATGTACTATTTAATCTATTTCCTACAGTAAATAATCTTAAACTATCATCTTGAAATGTACTACATCCTGCTACATATAATAACCCTAAATAAAAAATTTGTAAAAAAAAGAGTACATTTGTAAAAGTTACACTAGTATCATACGTGTAAAAAGAATTTTACAATATTACCTTCTGTATCTTCTTCCCACGTTCTTTCTATTACCTCTAAATCATTTAAATCTCCAAAGACACATTTAATGATAAAAAATATTATAATATAATAATATAATTTATATTTGGTCATTTTTAAAATTAACATTTATAAAAATTTTTTTATTATTATTTCTTTTTTAAATGAAAAAATTGAAAATATGAATTTGATCAAAAAAAAAAAAATGAATCCAATGTTTATCATACATCGCCACGCGTTGTTTTATGTACGGCTGTATATTTCTTCCGTTTCTTCCGTTATCTTAAAGGTTTTTAACGCGCCATTTTATAAAGCCATCCCGCTTTTATATAATTTTTAATTTCAGGTTTTATGATTATGTAATGCAATATTTATTTGATCGTCAGCGTAAAAAAAAAAATACATTGTTACGATATAAAATGAGACTAGTGCATTTTAATAAGATATGTACAGTAATCACATGCAAGTTAATGACGTAATGTATTATATTAAATAATCTTTCTTATAAATTTAGATTAGTTCTTACCCTTACCCTTACCCTTCATTAAGATTTATTTTTAACCAATTCAAATACTTTTAACAATCTATTTCTAGCTCCAACAGTGTAAACTCTTAATTTTTGCAATTCCTCATTATCAAAATGAATAATTTCTTGCCATTTCATTCCATTAAAACAATCGTTATATTTATTTAATCTAAAGCCTTTTCAACCATTGAGGAAAATCTAGATTAAAATTAAATAATTTAAAATAAATATGACTACAGTATTCTATTAATTCAGATATTTAAAATTTCAGAGGGTATTAAAAATTTTTTTTTTTTGGTATTAACGGGAATTAACCTTCTGATAACTCTTTATTAACATTTACGTAATTTTTTTACAAAAAATTCTTTATACCGTCGATTTTTTTCCTTCTTTACGTCTCATATCATCAGATCCTTCGCTGGATTTTTATGAAATTTATTATTCTTGTAGTAAGTTTTATATTTTGTCACATTGTTTTGTAAAAATAAAAAAAAGATGGTAAAGAAAAATAATTGATAATTTCATGGTAATTAGACATTTTTATTTTCACTAATTGATCATGTTGGTATTACAAATAAGTTGATCGTCGATCAATAAATTAAGAGCCGGTAATTTTTTTTTTAAAAAAAAATCATGTCTTCTTACATTTCATTTAGAACACATTGCAGCACACTTTTTTTAAAATCTCTTCCAAATAATACTAATAAATTAATAATATCAATGTCTCCACTTTCTCATTTAATTAGAATAAATTCTATTATTACAAACTCTCATATTCAATTTTCGAAATCATTATCACATAATCATTATACTACTAAAAGTACAAAATATAATAATGATAATATTCATGGTCACATATTATATTATTTAAAAGAAGATAAATTGAGTTCAAAGGATTTTGATTGGGGCAATATAGATGAAAGAAAAAAGAATAATTTAAGAAAAAAAATTCATCAAACGAATAAGAAAAGATTATTTATTAAACGAAATATTATTCAAGTTAATTTTGATGCATTGGAAGGTAAATCTAAATTTATATTAATAATATATATATATATATATATCTTATTAGAAATTAATTATTTTAGATTTTACGGAATGGCTTAGTAATCTTCGATTTAAGAAATGGGCTCCTATGTTTGAAGGGATGAAATGGCAAGATATAATTCAATTAAATGATGAGCAATTATTGGAAAAGGGCATTAAAACTTTTACCGTTAGAAGCGAATTACTTTATTATTTTAATATTATTAAAGCAGCAAAGGTGAAATATATCTTTTTTATCCTTTTTTATTTGATTTAAAAAATTAATTAAAATTTTATTATTGTAGGCTGAGAAAGATGCCAAAAAAGAAAGTTCCGGAATTTCTGTAACAAAGGATGATAAAGATAAGGATTAAGATTATTTAATTTAACTAATCACTTTTTTTTTTAAAAAAAAAAGAGATAAAAAAAGTTTTTTTGCGAATGTTATTTATATTTCACTGACAGTACTGATTTTACTGTCAATAAGATATTTGTTATAAATCATACAATGAACACAATGCTTAATGTTCAAAATAATATCTACGAAAAAGAAAATATTTGGAAAACAATTAGTGGCTTCTTTGGTAAGTTTGTGAAGACCAGATTCTTGTTATATTTAAAGCTAAATGTTCTTAGAGCAAAGTGAGAAGTTTTATTCTTTCTTTGGAAATCTATTGTCAATTCAAAAGGATATTATAATAAAAAAGTTATACGTACCCTTTATCCTATAGATATTGCTATAATTTGTAATAGCATCATTATAATATATATATAGAATACTGTATAAAACGTGTAAGCATTATGTTAGGAATCCTCACTCCAAGATTTTTTTCACCAAAATATCACATTTAGACTTTTAAATTATCATTAAAAAAGAAAATTTTGTTTATAATCTTATCTCATGTTTCATTACTTTTATAAATATTATCGGTTATTAAATTATGCATGTATTAATGCTAAAAATATAATTTAAAATACAATTTTTATATGAAAAAAATAAATAAAAAGTAAATCTTAATATATAACTATATTACAAACACAAAACTCATTAAATCATTTTTAAATGATTATAATAATTATAAATAAAAAAAATAATAATAATTTACATAAACCAAATTAAAATTAATTTAATCATTATTTAATTCTGTAATAATTAAACCTTATTACTGTTATTCTCAGTCAGAGATCTAGTTCTAGATCTACCATGCTCAATCAATTCAACATTAATCATAGGTGTAACAGCAGGTTGCTTTTCATTATTTTGATTTGATTTTTTAGACTTCTCTTCTTTTGCTTTTTCAGTTCTCTCTCTTTTTCTAATTTGTCTAACAATATCTAAATCATCAGGATACCACCACTGTTTAACAAATTGTATTACATATCTTGGCAATCCTGCTATAAGAATAGCAAGTGGCATACCAAACCAAAATGTTCCATCACTAAATAATTGATTTCCTATACCATATATTGGACTTTGCTCAAATAAACTATATGCAATGACAAATAAGAACACAGACAGTATTTCTACAAATACAAATACCCATATAAACCATGACCAATAATATGTATTAAATCCAACAAGTAAACTTGCAATTACAACTACAGTAACTGCTACTGCTGTACTAAATGGTCCTGCCGAATCTCCTTCAGGATCTGTGGAAATATAATAAATAAAATTAAATGTAAAATATACGGCTAATGATTGCCAAATACCATCAAAGAAATATAGTCCAAATAATTTTTTTGAATATCTTAATTTTCGTATTCCCAACGAATATATAGTTGGAAATCGTAAACAATATTGCTTTCCAACTGATTGATCTGTTGCTCCTAATATAATAACTGGTGCAACTGTGAATATCATATTATATAATTGTACAAAACTGTAATCATAAAATATATTTGCTGAAAACCTAAAAAAGTATAATTAATTTATTAGTAAAAAGAAAGAAAGAAATAAATAAATAATGAAAGAAGAAAATAATGAAAAAAATAATATTACATGCAGAATATCTGATACCATAACACAGGAAATACCCAAATAACATTTTTATAAAAGAAGTTAAGAATCATCTCTGAAATTCTCAAATAATCCCAATGTCCATGAACAAGTAAAAGTTTGCTAAGAAATCGAAATTGTGCAATAGAATAATCGGCTGCCATCGATGCTTGAACACCTTATTATGAGATCAAACAATAAGTGTTAATTTCAATAAAAATTATTTACCTTGAAACTCAAGAAATCAATTATTTATCCTTTTAATACCTTCTTGTCCAGATATACCAACACCAACATTTGCAGCTTGAATCATGCTTACGTCATTAGCCCCATCACCAATCGCTAATGTTGTTGATTTTTTCCCTCTTCTCACTAATTCTACTACCATAGCTTTTTGTAAGGGACTTACACGACAACATATTACAGAATGAAAAAAATCTGATAATGCGATTAATTGATTTCGAGAATTATCATCTTCCAACAAATGTGCCAATGCTGCACCGTCAACTATAAATGCATGAACTTCTTCTTCTTTTACAGGTGGAATTTCTTCACCGTCTTCCGTAAATTTTTTAACATTTTTATCGCCCATAAATGATACAAATACATTATTAAACTGTTTCATAACACTTTCTTTTTTAGAACCTTTCACCACCCAAAGTCTCATCTCTTTCGTTAATAATTGTGCAGCAAATCCAATATTAATTGCTGTTTCCAGCTTATCACCAGTCAGCACCCAAACTTTAATACCAGCCTTTCGTAGAGATGCAATACAATCTGGTACGCCTACTTGAAGTTTATCTTCAATAGCGGTTGCGCCCAAAAGAATAAGTTCCTTTTCAATTTTTTCAGAAACTTTATCAATTTTCTCAGAACGATCTGTTAATGAGGATGCTGCTGCCTGATACTCCTTTAACCAAGATTTGTATCGCGTTTCACTTAATTCTCGATATGCTAGAGTCAGTGTGCGGAGACCTTAAATCATAATACGAAGGTGTTAAATTTCAATATCATAAAGAAAAAAAAATTATAAAATATATTATACCATCATTTGAAAAGTCTTCAATATCACGAGCTGTAGCTTCAACAAACTTTTCTTGACCTTTAGCCAATCTTTCAATGATAATATTATCAGCTCCTTTACAATATAATATGATACCACCCCCTAGTTCAGCTGGACGACGAACAATTACACTCATTCTCTTACGCGTCGAATTAAATTCTAATATATTCAAAATTTCGAATTTATGTTCTTTACCAAGAACATCAACTGTAAGATAATTAGTCGTTCGTGATAAGAATGCAAATCCCACATTTTTTGCTGCTGCTACAAGTGCCGCTTCGTCAGGTGATTCAGCCTTATAAACAAGATTTTTTACAACGGTTGTATCAATCGGAATTGACTTTACAGTTCCGTTAGGGCTATGACCTAGTGCTGACTCGAGTTGTTTGAGCGAAGGTAATACCTGCTTAATTGAATTTTTAAGTTTCTTTTTAGCAACGCTAATAGATGAGCTATTTTTATCTCTATTATGATTCAAACTTGATTCACTTGAATTTCCAGAAGATTGAGTTTCATTATTTGAATCTCTTCCTCCATCGCTATTTGCATTTTCACTATTTTCTTTAGAAATATCATCAACTACAACAGTATGACATACTGCTAGCAAAGTAAAAAATTCTTTCAATAAATCAGATCTCTTATGTTTAAATTCTGATTTTCCACCAGTACTTGATTCTTCTCCTATGTCATTATCAATTTCATCATCATTTTTCAAATCTCTAAAGATTTCAGGATCCACAAATGTTAAAAAGTTTGGATCTGTACTTGAATAAACTGGCTCGAAAACATTTTTCATTTCGTTTATATATTGATCAAATATTTCCTTCTGATCTAACTCTTGTTTCCCTTCATTTTGTTTTCCCTGAATTAATTCCTTTCCTTTCTCCGCATCTGTTTTTCCACCCCAACCATTTCTACCATAAACTTTTTCAGCAACTGAAAATTGACGGAACTCCATTATGTTACGAGTCAATGTACCAGTTTTATCAGAAAAGATATATTCAATCTGACCAAGATCGTCTGACAAATTCCACTGGAAATTTGGAATCGAAGGATTTTGTAAAGTGGAAAGTATTAATTAATGCATGAAAATATTTAGCGCAAGAAACTATTATTATACTTACCGACTTGGGGACAGCAGTAGCCCTAGAATCTTCATCCCACATATCTAAATCATTATAAATAAAATATGCCTAAAAAAATTCGTCAAATGATCAATAAAAAAAAAAGAGCGAGGAATAAACAAAAAAAAAAAATTATATATGTTGCATACCTGCCAAAGCTTAACAAATTCGATAGAAATATATAAAGAAATTGGAATTATATTTTGAAATATAATCAAACTGTTCCTGTAAAATTTTAAAATGATATGGAAATTTTAGTTAACAATATAAAAAACGAGTATAAATAATTAATGATATAACCTTACATAAATGTAAGAAATGCAGCAAACAAAACACTTTCGCGATTTGAATCCAGATTTTCGATAGCGACACCACTATCTTTTGATAACTTGGTCGATATTGCACTGCCAATTGCACAAACCAAAGCAAGAATGATAAGAACGAAAAAATTAAGAATAACCTGAAATTAAAGAAAATAATAATTTAAAAATTAATATCAAATAAGACGAATATAAAAATATATTTACCTCTTGATTCATTTCTTTTTCAATTCTACTACGCTTACTTGGTGTCTCACTGGAATTAAGCATAATCTTAGTCTCGACACCGGTGAATATAGTTATGGCAATAACCCATTCCGTATTACGAATCACGTGAGCTCTCAATAATAAATTATTAATATCGACTGGAATAGTTTTTCGTGGCTTCCATTTCTGTTCCGGAGGAGTTATACTATTAGGAACAGAAGATCGTTCACTCACGGGCGGTCTAGCTTCTGAGTCACGATCATCACTCGGTTCAGTTAGGATCAAAGCTCCACTATAAGAATATAAATTTGAATTTGGTGTTTCGGAATCAATATAAAAAGTAACATTTGTACAATCAATAGGTGAACGAATATCTTTTGTATCGGGAATGCATCGACGAGGTTTCAAATTAGTTTCACCGTCAAGATCTTTTGTTTCTACAAAACAAGTTCCCTCTAGCTCAGAAGTTGATAAAATGATAGCGTCAGCTGGTACAGCATCATTATTTTTAAGATACAAAAAGTCTCCAACACGAACATTTCTCCATATTACTTTTCTCCACTCAGGTGGTCCATGTTTTTCGTTTGAAGGTTCGGATGGAGGTTTGTCTTCGTCATCACCATCAATTGAGTTTGAATCTTCATTTACAGAACGTTTAAATAAAGACTTAATTCGAAGGATTTGTCTCTTCCAAAATGATAATTTTGGTACTTTTGGGTAATTTACATTAACAAAATTCTGAAGATGATAACATATTGCACCATTAAATTGTTTATCAATTTGATGTCTATTCCTATCCTCGATACCATCCTTAAGAGCAGTAAAAAACACGACAACTGACAGAGGAAGTACGGTCAATACTGGATTGTTGACACTAATAAATGGCAACATACCAAGAACGGCCATGAATAAGAAATATAAATTTGCGGCTCTCCGAAATTGTTCAAACAAGTTTTTTGGTATGAAAGTCCAAAAAGTATATTTTGATGTGACTATCTTATTAGTAACATATTTATACTTTGGTCTACCTTTTCGGTCAACTTCATCTTTTGGTAAATCGATGTTAGCATAAACTCTACGTTCTTTACAATTTGAAGTACGATTTTTGATTTTGGTTTTTGTTCTCTTAAGTGGAGAGCCAGTAGTTTCTTGATCAATTCCTTCTTCATTATCATCAGGATTGTTTTCATCAATTATAGCTCTATTGTACGTATTATCTGTATTATCTTCATTTCCTCTCGAATTCTTTTGTTCAATTTTTTCATTAAAGTCTTCAGAAGAATTCATCACAGTTTCATTTACTTTAATGCTATTAATAGTTTCATCTTTTTCGATGGTTTTCTTATTAGATTCACTTTTAGTAACAACGGCTGGCGTAGACTCCACGGTCTCCGTTATTGTAGGCGTGGATACTTTTATTTCAGTTGATATTATTTGTTCGGATATTGCAGGTGTAGATATAATAGTCTCTTTAACTTCACCAGGTGAGGTATTTTCGGTAACTATAGTTTCTTGGGTTATTATTGATTCATTTTCAGTAACTAAATTTGTCGTATCTACAGTTTCAAAGGAAGTAATAGGAGATTCTGAAATGGATATATTTGTATTCATATTCTCTTCTATAGACTCATTTTTCGTGTTCGTTGACATTGTAAAATGGAAAAGCGAATATAAGAAAATTTTGTACTTGTTTCGTCAATGATAATATATATAATATGCACCTTTGTAAGACAAACGACTGGGGCGGTAGCATCAAAATTGACAAAATTGATATAATTTAGTTTTTATTTTTTTTTTTCCAAGTGTTACGGCACACTTTGCATACTTTGCATGAAAGATTTACAATTTTATAATTTAAAATAATTGGCGATATTAATAGTTCATATTCCATAATTAAGAATATGCAATTTGCCAATCAATGAGCTAAAAATGGTTACTAAACTAATTACTTTAGTTACCGAATTTAAAAAATTTAGATTTCTTTAGAGAAAGTTCAATCATATATTTATAGAAAACAAGTATTTGCAAGTAACAAAATGTTGGCTTTTACAACTAGTATTTCCTAAAAAGGAAAAGCTTCATTAAAATAACCATTAGCTATTTAGTCCATTACACAATTACACGAGTTTTTCATGTGTGACGCAGATCGTTGAAATCATGTGATGAGTTTCCGCAGTGCAATTTTTTTTTACGATGCCTACGCACATCAATCATCTTTTTGGATTAGATAGCATTATTTTATTTTTTTTTAAATGTTAAAACTGCGTAACCGGAAAAAGAAAAATGGAACGACTATTATCCCGAAATTTAATACTATAATTCTTTTCTGTTCCTATTACCTACTTTAGAATGGACTGATTAGGACATAACATCATTTCTGCATTTGTGATACTCGAGACAAGATTAATTCTTCTTTGTTCAGTGAGTTACTGACTAACTACATTTAAACTATCCTTGAATTAGAGCAAATAAAATTTTACATATTAGCTCGTGTAGGACGCAATTAATTGATCGTCCTATTATCACTTCGAAATTACTCATTTTGATGATCCTAATCACAGTAATTAAAATTTAAATTAAAAAAAATTATATTTGGAAGGAGTACCACAGCAAGTTCATTATTTGCCAAGAAAGCCTCGATCATAATTTTCAATTGAGATTTTTTAGAACAAAAAAAAGATGGTATGATTTACCGATTTACCTCTTTTTATGGTTATAGGGTATGATGGGGTATTAGGAGAATTCCATTCAGGAAATGAGAAGCCTTTGGTTGAGCGTTTACTATATAAAAGATGGTTTCGTTTTTCTAAACTAAAAACCAAATGGTGTATATCAATTGGTCAATTGGAGCAGTACTTTAACTTTCATATTGTTTTCTATAAGGCCAAAGAAATAAAATTATTCGTTTCTCATGAAAAAAAATTGCTAAATTTGACCCGGCCGCCCGGAAAAAAAATTATTTTTTAATAAAAATTTAGCCGATTCCTAGAAGTTGATTGGTTGATTTACAGCAAATTTCAAAATATACGGGACACTTGAGAAATTTGATTGTCGGGTTGTCGGGTAGGTTATTATATAATCTGATATACTACTATTCATTATACTCGTCACGTGTTATTTATACTTTTCTAATAAGCTGTAATAAATTTTTTGCCCGGGTCACCGGGTGGAAAAAAAAAATTATTTTTTTATGATTATGATTGGTCAAAACTAAAATCACATGACTAAATAAAATAAATTTTTTTATCTTTTTTTAACATTTACATGACCCGCCCGGTTATGAGAAACGAATAATTTTATTTACTTGGCCTAATATCAGATTCAGAATGGTAAATTAATTAAAAATATGTAAGGAAAAGAAGACAAAAAATTACCTAATATTAATATGTATGCTGAAAGAGGACGTACAGGATTATTAATTATAAATATAGATACTTAATTCGTTACAGTAATAAATGTTTGTCTCATACAATATTAGCAATACAATTGATAATTGAATGTTTATTTTTATTAACAATAGTACCTAAAAAGTCATATCTTGGAAGTCAATGGCTTAATATTAGACATAGAATTCCATGGAATTTATGTTCATTCGAATTATCATTTTTTAAAAGAATATTTTAAAAGTACTAGTTAAAATGATATTATCAGGAATTAATCACTTACCGCTTTATTCAAATATTTAATTCCGGTCTGAATCAGATTTAACAGGTTAAATAAAGTTAAATTAGCTGCTGTTGTAATTTTCACTTGTAATCCTACTTTGTTCTCATTCATTCTTTTATTTTATTATCTAATATTCATTATTTATTGTGTTTTTAAATAATATTTGTTAAAAAAGGGAAGTTAAAACATATTACTTTTATCCTATTACATGTTTCATAAAAATATATAAGGTAATTAGTTGTACTATGAATTAATATCATTTTGTACAAAGACTCGAAATTATAATATGTCTGAAAGAGCTACAAAGTTTGCTAATAATGTTATCGGAATTCGGAATTAATGAATATTATTAATTTAAACATTCAAAACAGGAAACTTTTGGTCGAGTTTTGACTTTAGTTTCAGATTATAAGGAACGTTTTCTCATAATCGTGTAACATGAAAATCATAACTAAATTTGATGATTGGAAAAAAAGAAGTGAAACTCGTGGTTTCAAATTTCACTATTTTGAAACCTATAACCCTGGTAACACCATCATTGTTTTCAAGTAAAGACAACAATATTCCGAGTTATATATATATACCCGTTGTTTAAAGAACTTTTTCTTTCGATACTAAATCCATAAAATTATTGAAGGACAATTGCTGGTCAATTTGTCCAATTTGACATTTCTTGATATCATGGAAGCGAGAACCACTCAAAAGATTTTCGCAAAATTTGGAGAATTGCTAGATAATGGTTTAGGGTCAGATGTGGTTATTGAGGTCGGTAAAGAACCAAATATCAAGAAATTCCATGTACATTCTATTGTCTTGATGGCAGTATCTCCTTATTTCCGTATAGCTTTCTCTAGCAATTGGGTTAATAGATTTGATGGTATTATTCATTTTGAAAAACCCAATATTTCGCCAAATATTTTTAAAATAATCTTAAAGTATGTTAATTTATGAATTATTCGTTATTTATTTTTTAATAAGTGCGTAACATTTTTTGATATTTTTTTTTTTTTTCAAGTTTTATATATAAAGCAGACTTAGATTTGAAAAAACATAAAGCTTCTGATATTTGTAGCTTGATTAAAGCTTCTGATGAATTAAGTATCGATGTTCTCAACGAACATATCCTCGAGTTTGTCTCACAGAATGCAAACAGGCTTATAAATGAGGATCCAGTTCAAATTCTGCAAATTATATTTCAACTTGATATATTTTCAAATCTTCGAAATACATTTCTTCAAATAATTTGCGATAATCCAGAGAAACTCGTAAATTTTGAAAATTTTTATACTCTCGATAAATATACACTTATTCAACTTTTGAAACGGGATGATCTAAAAATGGAAGAAGTAATTATTTGGTATAATTTATTAGATTGGGCTTGTTATAATGTACGAGATGAACAGGAGAAGCTCGATCTTAAAGAAGTTGAAAAATGGGAATCAGGAGATTTTGCAACATTGAAAGATATACTTAAGGATTTTATTCCACATATAAGATGGTTTCAAATTTCCGGGAAAGATTTTTGGTATAATGTTAAGCCATTTAAAGAAGCCTTACCGGAAGAATTGTATGATGATCTTTTGGGATATAATATTGATAAATCAGTCGAACTAAAATCTTTTGTTATTTTGCCACAAAGGAATAAAAATAAAATTCCTGCCAAAGTAATCCGTAAATATCCTGCCAAGTAAGTTATCGTCAAGAATCGTGTTTTGTTTTTTTTTTTAAAAAAAAAGTTAATTATAGCATTCATCCTATTTTTTTTATCTTTAATAAAAAAAGAAGGTCGTCAACGTAAGTGCCTAATTCATAAATTAATCAATGTTTTTTAATGAAAAATATTTATAGCTGATCATCTTTTTTATCTCTCATGCTAAAAATAGGATGTCAAAGAAAGCTCCTATCACGTAAGTTAACCTTTGTTTATTATTTATCAATGAATTTAAAAAGTAATTTTTTTTTCTTTATCTTTGATTAAAGGATGTCGAAGAAAGGCCATGCTGTCGTAATTTAAATTGATATCTAAATAAAGTAATAATAGACATAATATAGTAACTCTATGTATAGTATTGTATAGTATATATCTTCTTATACTACTCTAAAATTTATAGAATGTATAGTACTCCTAGAAAAAAAATTTAAATAATAAAATAATAAACAATTACAATCACAAACTAAAACAATATTAAAAAAATGTTTTATGCGGAACCCCTGATCCCCCTTAGATCAGCATTCCCGCACCCCTGGTGTAATATTGTACTATTTTTAGTTCAAATCCCGGATACATATAAAAATCGCTCCGCGGAAAGCACGTAATTAATTACAGTCTAAAAATAGTAAACTATTTATATCACAGCCATTAGTTGAATACCGGTACCGGGATTTAGGATCTATTAAGGGTTGGTATAGAGCCGGATATTATATAACTCAATGTGTATTTTAATATTTTCACACAGTAATTGGGTGAATAGAGTTAAATGATATTAAAGTGAGTTATTTTTTTTATAATACTACTTTTTTTTAATTTCATATATGAAACGAGCATATTCTAAATTCTGCAAATTGTATTTCAAGTTGATTTATTTTCAGAACTTCGAGATACTATCCTTCAAATAAACCTTAGAAAACTTGGAGAAACTTATGAATTTTGCAAAATTTTATATTCTCAATAAATCTATCGTTCAAATTTTAATCTGAATATGGAAGATGATTTGAGATCATTTGTTAAACTGAGCTTCCGCTTCTAAACTCAATATTAAAGATGCAGAATAATGGAAACTAAAGTTTCCGCATTTTTGAATGATACAATTAAAGAATTTGTTCCACTATCAACATGATAGATGGTTTCATAGATTTTTGGTAATTTAAGCCATTTAAAAGAAGTCTTACCGGAAGAAGTGTTACGATAAATCTTTTGGGGGTATTACTCTGATAAATAAAAGTCCAACTACTTTGCCAAAAAGGTGACATCAATTATCATTTTTATTTTAAATATTTTTTTTATCTTGGTTCAAGGAAAGAAAAGAATAACTCAGGTTATTACTTGATAAGAGACCATTTGATATGAAAGATATTCTTTCTTGTGATTATGACAGAAACAGATGAACCGATCTTACAATTTGCTTTAATGTATCTAAATTATTGCTTTTTCGTGCGAGTGCAGTATCGACATAATATATATATGCAGTGAAATGCAAATGATTGACAATCAATTAATTCAAAACAAATTCTTCGATGACTATTTGATAATCTTTACTTACAAATCATAAAATAAACATTGGTGCCAAAATGATAAATTTGTAAAGTTCCTTAATGCTGGCAAAAATCACGTGCGGGTTACAGAAATACAAATTATTAATACGGATATCCTTTTTAAGAGATTAATTTCTTTTTATTTGGCAATTATACAAAGAATTCATTAGATCTTGCATTTTTGAATGCATGCAATTTTATCTGTATTTCCGCTTACGTAACCTGGGCTCTTTACAATTCTGGCAGCAAATATCCTAATTTAGGAATATGATGAAATTGGAACATTCTATTTACAAAATGATTTAAACATCCATTAAAAAATTCTTATCGTTTATTTAATAATTTACTATGTCTAATAATATTGAAATTGAAGGAATCAATTGGATTGAAGAAGCCATCTCAAAAAAACATATAAAATATTATGAATATGAATATTTTTATAATATTAAAGAAATTGGTACCGGAGGTTTTGGAAAAGTCTGTCGTGCAAAATGGAAACATTCTAATAAATACTTGGCATTAAAATCTTTTTATAATTTTAACGACGCAACTGTCAAAGAAGTCGTTCATGAAGTAATTTATATTTTACATATTTAAACCAAATCTTTATTATTTTATATATCTTTATTTTTTTTTTTTAATATTATTTATGGTTTAGCTTAAGCTTCATCGTGAAGTTGATTTTAATGATAACATCATTCGTTTTTATGGCATTACAGCTTCCAATCAAGGTACAATATTTTGACTATATTTAATTTATGTGAACCTGCAACATGAATTTAATTAATGATTTTTAATTAGAAAATGAAAATAGCCAATCAAAAAATTATTTGTTGGTGATGGAATATGCCGACGGGGTACTCTTAAAGATTATTTGAAAGTAGCATTCGACATACTTACTTGGGATGACAAATTCAACCTGGCGCTTCAATTAGCCTATGCCTTATCATGTTTACATGACGAGGGAATCGTTCACCGCGATTTGGTAATTCATTTAAAACATTTCGTTGTAGTGTGAATATAATAGATTCAATAAAATTATTAAATTGTTATTCGATTAAAAATTAGCACTCCGGTAATGTATTAGTACATCATAATACCATCAAATTAGCAGATTTTGGATTATCGAAGAGAATTGGAGAAGGATCCAAATCCCAAGCAAGCTTATACGGAGTAATTCCCTATGTTGATCCAAGAAGATTTATGAGACGAAGGAAAAATAACGAAAATAAAACACAATTATCTTCGTTAGATGAAAAAAGTGATATTTACAGTATTGGAGTACTTTTATGGGAGATATCTAGTGGTAAACCTCCTTTTTATGTTGAAGATGAACAATATGATATTGATTTGGCCTTGGAAATTTCACAAGGTCTTAGAGAAACGATCGTTCCTAATACACCCGTTGAATATTCTAATCTTTACATTGGTAATTATTATTTTTTTTTCATGCCAGTCTGCCAGACCAATTAAAAATTTTGTTTTAACATACCTTTTAAGTTCTCAAAACGGCACCACCCACTTTTTTTTATTATGAAGTCATGTGACTGTTCAGACTTTTGTTTTGATGTTATATTTCAACCAATTAATTATTAATTTTATCCCACATACTGTACTTTGATTTCATGTCTTTTAAACAAACCTTTTAGTTGGCCTGGCATAACATTAAAATTTAAGATTTTATTTAGAATATTTAATAATCTTTTTTTAAAAAATTTTAAAATTTAGAATGTTGGGATAATGATCCAGATAATCGTCCAACTATAAGTCAAGTAGTTGATAAATTAAAATCAATGAATCCAACGATAAATGTATCACCAATTGACCAACAAGCAGTCGATACTTTTCAAACATTTAGTAAACTACAGTCTAATTCAAATAGTATTAAAAGTGTTAATACTACAGGTTTTCATGGAGAATTATCTCAAATGATGCAAAATTTTAATAACTTAAATATAGAAGAAATGATTGTTGAACCTTTAACAACACGATCATTAATTGTCAATAAAAATGTTGAACCTTTAACATCAGGATTTGAATCACGCGAACAAAATAAAAATATTTCATCAAAAAATAATTTTAATTTATCAGTTGAAGAAATATATAATATCATTTTTAAATTAACAAATGAAGGGAAGGAATGGAATGTATCGAAATATGTTTTAGAATATTTTAATAATCATAATATTAATTCACGAGAAATTTATTATTGGATTATAAATAATCAGAATGATTCGATTTATAATTTTTTATTGGGATGTTTTAATTATTATGGTATTGGAATAGATGAAAATCGTAAAGAAGCGTTTAATTTATTTATCAATGCATCAAAAAAAAATCATATATTGGCAGATTATTACATTGGATTATGTTACGAAGTTTTAAAGAATGAAAAGTTAGCTTTTAAATATTATGAAAAAGCAGCTAAAAATGAATGTGTAGCTGGAGAATTTAAAACTGGTTATTGTTATTATAACGGAATAGGAAAAAAAAAAGGTGTGAAGATGGCTGCCTTTTGGTGTAAAAAAGCTGCATATAATGGACATTTAATGGCCATGTATTATCTTGCTCACATGTATAAAAATGGAAGAGGCGTTAAAAAGGATTATGATAAAGCTTTTGAACTATTTAAAATATCGGCCGAAGGAGAATATGCAAACGGAATAATGATGTTAGGATATTGTTATGAATGTAAAATCGGAACTGACGTTGATAAACAAAAGGTACTTGAATTATATCAAAAATCAGCAAATTTAGGAAGTAGTAAAGCTCAATATATTCTCGCTTCAATGTATAGTAATGGGAAGGGAATTGCGAGAGATATGGTACAAGCAATTTATTGGTATGAAAAGGCTATGAATAATGGATATTTACTGGCAATGTATGATCTTGCTAATATATATAGAATTGGAAGTTTTGTTGAGAAAGATTATGACAAAGCTTTTAAATTATTTAAAAAATTAGCCGAAGAAGAACATATGGATGGAATGACAATGTTAGGATTTTGTTATAGTAAAGGAATTGGAACTTATGTTGATAAACAAATGGCATTTAAATTATATCAAAAGGTAGCGAAATTAGGAAATTATAGAGCTCAATATAATCTTGCTCTTATGTATAATTATGGAATAGGAACTAAGAAGGATTTAGATAAAGCAGTTTATTGGTATGAAATGTCCGCTAATCAAGGATTTCATAGGGCTCAAAGTAAATTTAGGATTCTTACAAAGATCAGAAATAGGTAATAACACAGTAAGATACAGGACAGTTAATTTTTATTTATTATATTATTTATTAAATAAGTTGTAATATTTAAATAAATTTTGTAAAAACAATTGCGTTCATATGAAAATTTTTCAGTGTTATCTTATTAGTTAACTGATATATCAAATAAATAATATATATTTTTATTTTTTATTTTTATAATGAAGGAGCCAGATTAAAGGCAAATGCTAGAAGAACGAATTACAAAAACTAAACTAAACTAAAGTTGATCCAACCCTCCAACTTTTGAATCTTTTCAATACTTTTTCTACGTGTTTCATGTGATCTTCCAAATTTTCCGAGTATAACCCGAGCTACCCACTACATATGCGTACTCCGTTCCCCACGTGATAGAGGCGCGATCACTGATTTGTAACTTCGTTTCTCTTATTTCTCTTTTGACTATTTTTATTTTTAAAAAAACTTAACGTGTCGCTTACTTGCTTTTAAATAAATATATATATTTTTTTAAATCTAAAATTAAAACAAACAGTATATAATGCCAACACGCGTTCCTACACTTTGTAGCTATCCAACTAGTGTTCCAGTGAGAAATCCCAGTCCCTAGATCCTCTCTGAAAGTGTCCTTGAAGTTGAACGGTAAATCGGTATATCCACGTTCTCAGACCTCTTCCCCAGATCTAATTCCAAAATTCCTCACGTCCGAAGGCAAGATCAGTTTTAATTAAGGTATTATTGATCTTTAAATTTCATGCTGTCTAGAAGCTCATCGTGGTCACAATTACGCGGTCTTAGACTGCTTACTGTGAACGTCTATCTCTGTTTTCAACAAATAAATTGTCAAGGTTTTGCTGCCAACCATTCATGTTGTTTAGTTTAATAGTACTTACTTGTTTCTTTTTTCTAGATTAAATTGCATTATTAAATGGAAAGGGAAAGTACTCTTTGGTCTACAAAGATTAACATCAATACGTTGATGGCTAATCAGCATTGATAATAATTTCTATCCTTCTATAAGCTACAAGGATAGTGTTATTAAATGAGTAGCACTCCACTATGCCATAAATGTAAATTACTGGGCCTTTATTCATTTTTTATTGTCCAGATTTATCTGTTTTAATTTATATCATACTAATGATTTACGGTTAATAAATATAGATAAAATCTCTTGGACGAAGAAAAACTGGTTGCCCCTAATACAATTTGGGAAGATGATTGCTTACAAAAAATTAAAATTTGGAAATAACAATTATATTTTAAATAAGGAAATTTTTTCTTCAATAATCAATAAATCTAGCTGATTATACGAAGTAGTTTAATAATTAATGAGTTGTGGAAGGAAGAAAAACTCGTTAAGGAGGTAAAAAAGAAGGTAAAATTCGTAAAAGAAGTTAATACAATGAATATGTCTTTCACCAATCGACTTCAACAAAAAGATAAGGAGGTTGATGTAAAAGCGATTCAACAAAAACGAAGATATATAAAAATTTCAATGCGTGATTAAAGAGAATTCACATAATACGTATTCGGTTTTTAGTGAAGATGATTAGGTGGAATATTTGGAAAATTTGGACGATCGTTTTAATTTTTAGATGGTAGTTTTTTTAGTTAGAATAATTTATATGGATTCGAGAGTCCTGTTTAAGAAAATTTAGAAAATCGGAAAAAAAAATAGTAAAACTAGTTAATTACAAAAAGACAAAGTAGGCTTTGGTTTATAAAATTTGGTAACGTAATATTTAATAGTTAGTTTAGTCCTTTATTTTTTTTATTTCAATCATTATATGTATTTTACAGTACGTAAAAAACGCTACCACTTCATCGGATAGTATGAAGGCATGGGAGGGAGTTATAGATAGACCTTTATCTATATCAAACTCCAGTTTTGCTTTTGTTTACTGTATGTTCTTTATCATAATAAAGTATTACCGTTACGTTTTATAAAAAAAAGATTTAATTAATATGTTCGTCTTTTGCTAATCATAATTAATTAAAAAGTGAACGGCTTTATTTATAATTACAAAGGCTCAGAATAAGTAATTTCATAGTTAGGCTTTAGCGATTATGTAACATCAAATTTATTCGAAAATTTAAGTATACGAAATATGAAATTTGAAATAATTGTTACATGATTACTCAAAATATTTTCAATAACTTAAGAGTAGATAGAGATATTCAGACCCGGTTAATGCGAGAATTTACTTTTAGTTTATTATTTATTTATAACTATGCTTGTAAGTTGGTTAGTCTTGAACATTCAATATATGATCTAATCACGTGAATCGTGTTTAATAAAGTGCTTTTAAAAAAATTTGTTTTTCTCAAAAGTCTTTGTCAGTTTGATTTGAAACCAGATTTATTTATCCTTGTATATTATTTCCCATTCCGCATTAAGGCTGACTTCCACCCGTAACTCCCTTTCCTGATTTTGATTTTAATAAAATGTAACCTGATCTCCGGGTAAACGGGTTGACCCATTAGGGGAAATACAAACACCTGCTAACCCGGTTTCTTATCGATAACAGTTGGATAGCGAGTTGCTTAAGGGGTTTAACGAGTTAATAATGGTTTCCCAGCATAATTCAATTATTTAAATCATTTATTAGTTTTATTACTATTATTATATATTAATGTTTAAATATCCAATGAATGCAATAAATATAATTTCTATTCATCAGTCGGATAAACTGTATCAAATTAGATGCATTTCTTTTTACAGCTGATTTCAAAAAATGTCGGGACACTTAGCAAATTTTAAAGAACATTTTTGAAATCAGCTGTAAGAACATGATTTTTTTTTGAATAAACTTGATTTCATATTTCCGATGATCCCACATGAAAATGCGAAAAGTTCTCCGATATCATTTGTCGGGTTAAACCGGTTGTATCTGATAGTCAATTTTTGAACCCGGTTAGTTAAATTTAAAAACCGTAAACCCGATATTTACGGATATCCGTTAATAAGGGTTACGAGTCTGAACACCATGGCGAGTCCGTGACGAGCTACACGTGACTAAACACAAGTGTAAATCACTTAAATCACTTTAAGTTTTCAGTTTCTTAACGATTTGATATCGTATTAACACTTTCCATCCTAATACTGATTTTAAAGCAAGTCATAATTTTTGGTAATTGCGTAATTTATGCAATATATCTTGTTCTGTGCTCGTATTTCGTCTACAGACTGTATAATGTTGGTAATCCGGGTTCTTTCCGATTTTATTGAATCCGGTTGTAAGTAAAATAAGAATTACGGGTGGTTATGTTATATTGAATTAAGTTTCGGTCGGGAAAACGCCATGTGAAACGTTACTTCAAAAAATAAAAAAATAAAAAAATGTTTTTTAAAGGATAAATATGTCAATTGAAAACCAATTTGAATGACAAATAACTTTTTGCTCTATCTTTATATTGGTTGACTAGCCGAATTTCGAATAAAGAAAATTCTTTGCTTGTACAAAGTAAGGGTTTATGTTGTTTGTCGATCTGGTCTATATACTATTCGTTGTATATGCAGTTAGCATATAAAATTTAAGATGTAAAACTTAAGGTTTTACTTTTTTCTAACAAATTTTCAATAGCAAAAATGACGATCGTGTCCGATGAAAAATTATTTGCAATTGTTTTATACTCCACGTTTGTTAATAACGAACATCTGCCTTCTGTCAGAGATATTTGGAAGAATCCTTGGGTAACTGGAACTTCCGGAGCATTGGTAATAGGATTAGTTGGTGCAATAGTTGTACCATTAATTTTATCAGCGATAATTTGTGTACTAGGATTTGGTGTAGAAGGTGTTGCAGCAGGTTCATTTGGTGCTTGGTTTATGTCATTGTATGGAGGTATGATTGCACGTGGAAGTCTTATTTCATTTTTGCAATCGATTGGAGCTACTGGTTTAGGAACTTTGGGAACTTCCTTAAGCAGTAGTTTTGGAGCAGCTATCGGAATTCTTATTGGAGCAATTGGTGGTTCAAACCTTGCAACATATTTTAAGGAAATGGATTTAAATGATTCTGAAAACAAAATTTTTGGAAGTTTGGTTCATATCGAACAAAATACTTATCAAAATAACCATCACATGGTTATATTCACACTCATGCCGGCTTTATTATATAATGATACACTTTTAAGATGTTTTTTTGAAACATTTATACCTAGTTCACCATTTGCTAATTCTAAATTGTTTAGATTTGATTTTATGGAAAATGATTTATTGTTAAAATCAGAAAAAGAAAGATTGAATCGTGCTATTCATAATTTGTTAATCGATAATTATGAAAAATCTAGAATAGAATATATTTTTCGCGATAATTACTTAGCTGGGATAAAGTTAGGTCTTAATGGTTATAAATCATCAAATGATAAGGTAAATTTATTGGCTGATATTTGGCAACTTATAAATGGTAATATTGTTTTAGATATTGATATTGATAAAATTCGCGATAAATTTCACGATCAAATTCAAATCTTTTAAACTATTTTCATGACAAATTCAATTTATAAATATTGAGAGTTCGTACAATATATATATGTATTTATTAGCTATTAGACATGCTTTATAAAAATAATAGTAAATTTTAAATTTTTTTATTTTATTTTTAATAATTAATTACGTAGTTGGTTACTTTATAGTTAATATTAAGATACATATAATAAACGCCAATTTTCCTGAAATTACAATTGTATGTATATAAATATATTGGTAGAGATTAAGCTTTGGTTTTAGCCGAGTGATTACGTTATATCGCCGTGAAAAAAGAATATTGTATGTACAGTCGACTCGCGTTACAGCAAATTTCGATTATGAACTTCATTGTGGTACAGATCTTATAAAATTTCGCTAAACCGAATTTTACTATTAAAATGCTGTATAACGTATAACGAAATAAACTGTATAAATTATATATATAAATGAATCGCATTATAATGAATTTTTTTATACCGAAATTTTTTTTAATTATAACGAAGTTTTGTCGAAAATTTATTTTTTTATAAAAGATATAAAGGGTGTTCGCGTCTTGTGTTTCGTGTTAGTTTTCATATTTTCTATTCTTTTTTTTTGAAATGCCGAAAGCTAAGCCTATTAACCCGTCCAAGAAACAACTTTCTAATGAAACTTCTGCCCCTAAAAAACGTAAGTCTCTTCCTGCTGCGCAGAAACAAGAAGTTTGCTTTAAAAAAAAAATCTTCACCTTTCTTAAAAAACAAAGACCTAGCCAAAGAGTATGACATTAGTGAAGGGATGATTTGTACACAATAGCAGAATGGGGGTTTTAGGACAACGCATCGCAGTTGGGGGTTTACCTTTTTTTCCTCCCCTTCTGGGTGCTGCCTATGCTAGTTGGGGGGTTAACTTTTTTTTTCTCCCCATCTGAGTTTGGGGAGTTAACTTTTTTTCTCCCCAACTTCAGCTATGGGATACGTTATTTTTTCAACCCCCCAATTTAACTGGGGAATTAACCTTTTTTTCTGCACCATATATGCGAGTTGAGGGGTTAACTTTTTTTTTCTCTCCAACTCGAGCTTCTGGCCCGATTTTTTATTTTGACCCCATCTGAGTTTGGGATATTTTTTCTTTTTTCCCCAACTTTGGCTATGGGATACGTTATTTTTTCAACCCCCAATTTAACTGGAGAGTTAACTTTTTTTCTCCCCAATTCATACTGCATATCTCTGTCATTTATGCCCCATAAGGCTTGGTGTGCAGTAATATTTCTAACGAAAAATAAGTCTAATGGAGAATTAGGACAATTTAGATTTATTTCTCTATGTATATACATGTCTACTTCATGTTTGCACTTCTACTGTATTACTAAATATTTTTAACAAAAAAATTGGCCCAATTCTCCATTAGATTTATTTCGGTTAGATTCATTTTCCATTAGATTTATTTCTCTATGTATATACATGTCTACTTCATGTTTGCTTTTCTACTGTATTACTAAATATTTCTAACGAAAAAATTGGCCCAATTCTCTGCTGTTAGATTTATTTCGGTTAGATTCATTTTCATTAGATTTATTTCTCTATGTATATACGTGTCTACTTCATGTTTGCATTTCTACTGTATTACTAAATATTTCTAATGAAAAAATTGGCCCAATTCTCTGTTAGATTTATTTCCATTAAATTTATTTCTGTTAGATTTATTACTCTATGTATATAAAAGTCTACTTCATGTTTGCACTTCTACTGGGCTTTGCTTTATCCTTCAATTTTTTGTAATACTTGGCTACATAATAACCTCTAATGTGCATTGGGCATCTCCTACAGGCAGAAGCAGTAGGCTTGCCACAATCACTACAGAATAAAGCTTCGCACGAGCCGGCTTGAGCTGAGCCACAGTCTGGCTCGGCTTGGCTTGAAAAAAAAATTCTGGCCTGAGCCAGAATGAGCTGAGCCATAAAAAATTTCAGCTTGAGCTAAAGTGAGCTGAGCCAAGCCATTAAAAACCTGGCTTGAGCCAAGCTAAGCTCAAGCTTTATCTTCAGAAAAATGTTTCGCAACGTTTTTTATTAAAACATTGAAAAAAAACGTTGCGAAATGTTTTTTTTTAAATATATTATTAAGAAAAATGTTTTCGCAATGTTTTTTAATTAAAATATCGAAAAAAACGTTTTCGCAATGTTTTTTAATTAAAACATCGAAAAAAAACGTTGCGAAATGTTTTTTTCTAACATAATACTTTGAAAAAAACGTTTTCACAACGTTTTTATTAAAACATTGAAAAAAAATGTTGCGAAACGTTTTTTTTTAAATATATTATTAATAAAAAATGTTTTCGCAATGATTTTTTATTAAAAATATCAAAAAACGTTGTGAAACATTTTTTTTAAATATAATATTTTGAAAAAACGTTTTCGCAACATTTTTTATTAAAATATCGAAAAAAAATGGTGTGAAACGTTTTTTTCTTAAATATATTATTACGAAAAAATGGTTTGCACCGTTTTTTATTAGAATATTGAAAAAAAATATTGCGAAATGTTTTTTTAATATATTATAATACAAAAATGTTTCGCAACGTTTTTTGTATGATAACTTACAAGCCAGCTCGAGCCTTTTGAGCCGAGCTTATTACCGGCTTGAGCTTTTTGAGCTGAGCCTATTACTGGCTTGAGCTCTTTTCGAGCTGGCTCACGAGCTACTGAGCCAATTTAATCATGGCTCAGTTCAGCTCAGCTTGAAAAGCTCGAGCCAGCTCACGAGCTGGCTCGGCTCATACGGAGCTTTATATTCTAGTAAAGACATTCTTAAACTTAGAGTTGATAAAAATGAGACTGTTAGCAATTTTGTGAAAACCATTAAGAAAAGTAATGTTGGTCTCGACAATACCAAATTTCTGAAAGTAGATCTTTCTTCTGACGAGCTGAGTGATAGGCTAGCTTTGCTTGAAGCTGATCCTTTTACTAATATTAAAAAGACACTAAATGGTGAAGAGTTGAATGCAAATAAGACTACTATTCTAGAATACTTTGATACTGGAAAGTATTATATTGTCATCGTATCTCCTTTTCCCCGCTTTACCCTGCAACTTTTTTAGACAAATGTATTAGACTAAGAATATATCCAGTATGATTTTCATATATAAAATAAAATCTTACATCACAAAAAGAGTTTGTCCATATCATTATCCATTACAGGTGTTATTGCCGTTTTCAGAAATGTTGACATTAGAATGTTGATCATTTCTATAAATCGAACACACCGAACACACACTGAACACAGCAATTAAAATTAAAAAAAAACAAATTTTCCTTTAAAAAAAGCAAAATTAAAACTTTAGTAATATATTTTTAGGTAGTGTGCATAAAAAAATGTATAAAAATTATATTATTTGCATATATGTATTCACTTGCATTTGCTTGTATTTGCCAATGTTCAGTATGTTCAATGTGTTCGTTTGTGTTTGGTGTGTGTTTGGTACAAATTTTCATATTTTTAATTTTATTCATATTTAAAAAGTGACAAAAATAGTTTTTATATAAAGTTATGCATGAATACTTCAAGTTTGCATAATTTTTTGTATGTGTTCACGGTGTGTTCGGTGTGTTTGGTATAAAATGGTCAAAATTTCAGATTGTCAACATTTCTGAAAACGGCAATAAATCATCATCGGGTAAATGTAACCACTCATGTAAATCCTCAGTATTATCATCAGCAAAAGGAATAAACGAACAGATCTTTCTCTGTACTTTTTCCTGTTCAACAAACTCATTTCGGATGACTGCAAAAAAATTGAAGATTTTTGCGTAGCATGTTATGGCTTCAAAGAAAAAAGGAATCACACATGAGGCCAATTCAATGGCTAAATACTTTTTTTTCTCAACAAGGGAAATAGCAAATAATGTAATCTGATCACTAACAATTTGAATGCTATACATTCTTACTTTCTTGGCATCTTTGATCGGGCAATCTAAATTGTCAGAAAGCATTTTACACAGACTGCAAACAGCCATCATGAGTAATTTTTTTGCATTACCAACTGTATCCTTTTAGTAGATTTATAAGGTGACTCTGATACTTCAATCTTTAATAATTCATTCATATCTGATAATCTCAGAACAAGTACATCTATTTTGCGACGATTAATATTGCCATAAATATTTTATTAACTTCTTTAATTGATTCAACGTCCTTTTTAATCCATTTATACTTTACTTCAGGAAAGGCATTTAACAATATACGATCTTTCTTTCATATCCCTATCTAGAACCTTTGGTGTCAAATATTTGAACATTGCAACAAAATCAAGTAAGGTATGTCTTATGAAAAAAAGGAACCTAGCTTTCTCAGTTGTTTCGTTGTCTTTTTCAGTTACTGTCTTTTCCACTATTTTTGAAAAAATTTCTGAATAGTCCGACTAAAAAATTACTTCAAGTTTTTTATTTATTAAGTCCTTTAAAACTAATTTATTTCGCAGTTGAAGAATTCTTTCGATTTCCTCATATAATTTCTTTTCTGTGATTTGTTGAACGAGGTGTATTGTTGCATTGAAGACACAAATAACATGTGTAAAATATTGATTAAATGTTGTGTTTGTAATGATGGGCTTATTGGATGTTACGATCAAAGTATTTGTAACTATTGATGTTGTAGGATATGGTGTACTTTCATACGAATTATTCTCTTCATGGACATATTGTTTTGATCTTGCATTTTTATATGGTACAGAACCTCTATAATAGGAACTTAAAAAAATTTAAATAAAATTTGACTCTATGATCAGATTTTAATTTTATAAAAAGATTAAACTCTATTTATTAAAAGGAATTGATTTATATATATAAAAAAAAAAAGTCTCAATTTTTTCAGATTATGTAAGCATCACGTGATACTACATATATTAGCCAATCAGAATTAGGATTTTATAAGTTACATAATATAAAATTTATATAATATATTTATTTATTGTATTTCATTATAAATTGAATTAGGTACACGACAATGAGATTTATATTTTTTAACAGCAAATTCAGCCATTTTTCCAGTAATTCCCTTTCTGTAAATATCCATATATTCCCATGATTTTCTTGCAAATTTCTAATTGTAATTAATGAAACTGAATCTAATGCTTCTGGTACAATTTTTTGTAAATCTAACCATATATAATTACAATTATCTCTTGTATATTTTTTTGCTACTCTCCAATACATTTCAATAAAATTTAATTCACAATGGTATTTTGGATAAAAAATACATATACAGTCAACTCTCTTTATAGTCACACATTTGGAACAGTCTATATTTGGTGATTATAAAGAGATGTGACTATATAAAAAATTTCTTACTTTGCTGAAACTTGGAGTTTACAATCGATATTAATTAGATATCGCAATGATATCATTACGATATCATTACGATATTTTGATAAAAAATAGATTCGACGTCGTTAAGTTAATCGTAACTGTATTTAATCGACATCGATTAGTTCGATATCTCTGCGATATCGCTGCGATCATTATGCGATGTAA